CTAGTTCATGGAATGTTAAACAGGATCTGAGAAATAACCCATGGGGCTCTCCTACTGCTAGATTGTGGACTGATGCAAATTTTTTTTACCAGAATCAAAAATCTGAGTGGGGGGCTTGGGGGGGGGAGATTTATCAAAAGTTATTGATGTTGAGTAACAACCAGAACAGATGATGGAGAATGGGGTTATAATTATTGATGAAGGCAAAGATAAGGAGGTGGAAATGGAGACTAATGTTGAAAAGGAGATCTATGTGTCTCCTATCAGGGAGAACAAGTCAGATTATAAAGGGAAAGAAATTTCAGAGGAGGGACTTAAAGAGATTGATGAGAATAATGAAGTTAATAAATGGTTAGCCCTTCTAGTGCAATTCAGTAATGATGAAAAATCAGAGAGGGAAGAAGATATTCCTATGATTCAGCCTCTAAACTCTTTGCCTCCTACAGATAAGGAAGAAGACATACCTATAATTCAGCCTTTGAACTCTTTGCCAGCTACAGATTTTGAAAATATTGCAAAGGTTTCCTTTGTCAGGAGATGCTCAAGATTTGTGGATATGGAACCTATGACTGCTTTAGACAGGGCCACTACAAGAGCTGCAAAGAAAAATAGTGATAAAATTACCTCAGGAGCTTCCTCTGGTGAATTAGGTGAAAATTCATCTGCTTTGGGTTCTAATTTTGTTCCTATTTTATTTGATGCTTACTCTAACAAGCAGTTGCAAAATTATGCGTCTAAATGCGCTATCATTCTTGAGCCTCAAGAGGATTTTGATCCCTTTAAAAAAGTGAGGCAGATGGAACAAGAGAGAGCTACTTCTAAGTAGGCTCTTTTTAGATTCTGAGGAGATTTGTTGTTTTCAAATGTTGGTTACATGGAATGTTAGAGGTTTGGGTTTGAGTACAAAAAGATTTGGAGTTAAAGATTTCTGTCAATTGAACAAATTTGAAATAATATGTTTGCAAGAGACAAAATTGAGTTGTGTTACTGATAATATCGTAAAAAGTCTGGGTGGTAACATGTATGATTGGGTTTATATACCTTCCATTGGGGCCGCTGGTGGAATTATGATTGGTTGGAATAATAACAAATGGAAGAAGATGTAGGAAGCAGCTGGTAAATATGTTCTGACGAATTATGATTGGTTGGAATAATAACAAATGGAAGAAGATGTAGGAAGCAGCTGGTAAATATGTTCTGACTGTGTTGCTAAAAAATAAGAAAAATCAAATGGAAGAAGATGTAGGAAGCAGCTGGTAAATATGTTCTGACTGTGTTGCTAAAAAATAAGAAAAATAATTTTTTATGGACTGTTTCATCTGTGTATGGTCCTCATTGTAATAAAGAGATAGCTCTTTTTTGGCAAGAGCTTAAAGATGTTAAGAGTATGGTTTCAGGCCCCTGGGTTGTGGTGGAGGGGAGGATTTTAATGTGACCATTAATTCTGCAGAGAGAAAAGGAAAAAATAATCATAAAAAAGACATGGAAAAGTTTAAGGAGGTGATCAATGAGTTGGAATTAATAGACAGTCCTTTACATGGTAGAAAATTTACTTGGACAAACAAAAGAAGTTCACCTGTTATGGCTAGACTTGACAGTGTTTTTTTCAACTCTGAGTGGAAAGATGTTTTTCCTTTCTCTAAACAGTAAGGACTTAGTAGTCAACTATCTGATCATGCTCCCATTAGTTTTGACTATGGGGAAAATCAACAACAAGTTAAAATTTTCAGATTTGAAAAAATATGGTTCAATCTGAAGAATTTACGAAAGGTGTACCTATATGGTGGAATTGCACTCAAATTTTTATAGTGTTAAATAAAAAAAGAAGGATTTGTTGGAAAATCTTTTAGAATGGGAAGTTATAGAAGAGAATAGAGATTTAGAAGATGATGAGTTGATTAAAAAAAATAATATCTCCATACAGTTAAATGATATTCTTTTTCAAGAAGAACAAATGTGGAAGCAGAGATCCAAAGCTTATTGGCTTAAAGAATGGGACAATAATACTACCTATTTTCATAAAATTGCAAATGGTAGGAAAAGAAATAATTTGATTTCTTCAATCACATATGATGATATAGAAGTGAGTTCTGAGATGGGTATAGCACAGATCTTTTCAAATCATTATAATCAGATCTTTGGTCAAAATGTGCCTCATAAATGTCAGCTTGACTGGAATGGTTTATTCCTTTTATTTGACTGGGGTCCTAGTGATATTGAAATTCCTTTTACTGAGGAGGAAATTCACAAAGCCATTTTTGATATGAATGGTGACAAATCCCCTGGTCCTGATGGTTTTCCTGCTTTGTTTTTTCAAGTCTTTTGAGAGACTGTGAAACTGGATATCATGACTCTTTGAGGAATTTTATGAAGGCAAATTAGAAATCAACAGACTTAATTATGCTCATATTGTTCTTCTTCCAAAAAAAAAATAAGGCTACTACTGTCAATGATTATAGACCTATCAGCCTTCTGAATGTGATTTACAAGATAATTGCTAAAGTCTTCACGAATAGGCTGAATTCTAAGCTAGAATGGCTTATTGATCCAGTGCAATCTGGTTTCATTAAGAACAGATATTTGCTTGATAGTGTGGCTGCAGCTCAAAAAATTATTGATGATTGCTTTCAGAATAATAAAAAAGGAGGAATTTTACTAAAATTGGATTTTGCGAAAGCCTATGATATGTTAGACTGGGAATTTATTTTGGATGTTTTGAAAGCTAAAAAGTTTGGTGAGAAATGGATAAATCGGGTGAAAATGTGCTTAAAAGGAGACATGTCAGCTATAAATATCAATGGTAAACCTGAGAGTTAGATTATGTCTAAACGTGGTGTTCGTCAAGGAGACCCTTTATCTCCACTTCTCTTTGTGTTGGCGGCTGATTCTTTTACTAGAATGCTATCTTTAGCAATTGATTCTCACCTTATTGAGGGTTTAGGCCCTGTTAACATGAATCATGAAGTGTTCTGCTTGTAATATGCAGTTGATACTTTGATTTTTTATAAAAATAAAAGAGAACAGTTAACAGTTTTGAAACTAATATTGTATTGCTTTGAATTGGCATCTGGTTTGAAAATAAATTTTAATAAGAGTGTTCTTATTACTCTTGAGGATAATGAATCTTTACAACAGAATTTGGTTACTATGTTGAATTGTAAAAGTGACAGTTTTCCTATCACTTATCTTGGAGTACCTTTAAGACCAGGCAAATTAAAAAAAGATGATTGGCTTCCTTTGGTTGAAAAAATAAAGAGGAGATTAGCATTGTAGAAAGGTAAATCATTATCAAGAGGTGGTAGACTAGTTTTAGTTAACTCAGTACTGTCCTCTATGCTAATTTTTTTGTTATCTTTCTTTCTTTTTCCTTCATGGGTCATTGATAAAATTGATAAGTTGAGAAGAAGATTATTGTGGATTGGATCCTTGGATCATAAAGGATACACTAATTTGGTAAAATGAGAGGAGGTCTGTAGACCTAAATACTGTGGTGGCTTGGGAATCATAAATTTGAGAATTATGAATAGAGCTTTGTTAGGAAAATGGCTCTGGAAATGGTTTGATGGAAGTCTAGGTCTTTGGAAACAAATTAGCTTTCATAAATATTTTGAAAGAAAAAGTTGGACAGAGTTTTTATACTCTAGAAGAGTTCTTTTATCACATTTTTGGAGGAATCTCTGTGTTAATATTGAAAGTTTTTTATGCAGCTCTCAAGTGGAGGTTGGAAAAGGAGATTACACTTTATTTTGGCTTGACAAGTGGGTAGGATCATTTACTCTTGCAGCTCTTTTTCCATCTTTATTTACTATTACATCCTTTCCTTTTGCTACTGTTAGTAGTATGAGGAAAAAAGAGAATAATATGTGGAGATGGGTTGTCAAGTTTAAGAGACAGTTAACTGGGGTTTTTGTTTCACAGTTCTTTTCTTTGATGAATTTGCTTAATTCCATTTCTTTAGAGCAAAATGAGGATAAAAGAAAATGATTGTGGGAGGCAAAAGAGAGTTTCACAGTAAAATCTTTCTATCAATTTTTAATTAATGGAGGTTTGAGGTATGATTGTACAAATCTATGGAAGCTTCCTATTCCTTTAAAAGTGAAGTTCCTTGTCTGGTTGGCTCTAAGACAGAGTTTGAATACAAAAGACATACTGGAAAAAAAAGGAATTCAATTGGAAAAAGTTTGCTGTTTATGCTCTAAATTGGAGGAGAATCATACACATTTATTCATCAAGTGTGAGTTTGTTTACTCAATATGGAGATCAGTTCAATTCAAACTAGATTCTAAGGATAATTTTAATTTGGGATCCTTAAAAGAAGTATGTCTTAACTGGTAAGTTGGTGATGATGAGAATTGCAAAATGAAAAGAGATGTTTTTATTTGTTCTCTAGTTTGGTGTGTATGACAGGAGTGTAATGACAGACTTTTTTCTAATAAAAGGAAGAAGTCTCTTGAGCTATTAAACAAAATCACGACTTTCTCAACCTTTTAGCTAGGTTCTAAGATTGCTTATGCTCGGGCTACCAGACTACAGGAAAGAAGAAGGAAGAGGAATGCTGATAGTTTGCAAGTGGTTGGAGCTGCTGGAAGAGAAAACAGAGATTTGGTGCATGCGGTGATTCAGCTTGAATGATTTGCAATCAGCTCAGTCTTGATATTGTCTTATACCTGATCTTTAAAACTTTCTTAAAGTTGGATTTGGTTTACTTTTGGTTTTTGTTAGCAGCTATTAGATCCAAATCCTTGTGGAGGGATTTATGGATGGGTACAGTGTGGTGTTTCTTCATGCTTTGTAGTTTTTTGTAGTGGACTTCAGTACACACTTTTGGTTGGGATGTGTATTTTCATGTAACAACCACTTTCGTTAATATTTAGCTGGCTGGATTACCTTTGTGGTAATCCATCCTTTTTCTCAAAAATAAAAAACTAATTTCACAAATATAATTCTATGAAGATAATAAACAAGGAGAAATGATGAGACGGTATTTCGGAACATCATACCATACGTTTGCGATTGAGAGCGCCGCCGACGACCTGGGAGCGGCTGATCATCAGCAGTTGATGATACCTCCCCTGATGAAAGAGAAGACTCCTCATCTTCAGTCTAAACTTTCAAAGCCTCTTGGGATTCTGTTGAATTAGTTTGTGTCCGGCCCTCGATCTGATTGAATTATTTTCGAGTTTTTTCGGAGGAGAAGAGAGTACACGTGGATACCAAAGGAGAAGGCGATGACACGTGGGTGTTGGCGAGATCTCCTCGCACGTAAATAACGGGGAGCAGTTGCAGTTCTTTTTTTGGCAGCGAGCGCGTCATGAATCATAATCATACGTTTGGATCTTGTCTTTTTTTTCTTTATGCAATAATAACCCTTCATTAAAAAGTGGTGGATAAATATGATAAATATAGAGAGGTTTTGAGATCGATATTATTATTCACACTATCGAAGTGTTTAAGTACCAGAGAAAATATAGAGGTTCTAATAACCTAAGCGACGCGAGACTAGAGTAAAAAGACTAAAGTAAAAAAAAAAAAAAAAGTCTAACTACTACACTTAACACCATCTCTTGAATTGTATTTGAGTTCCAATGGCAGTTTGCATTGCTAACAAGGAGTCACAGTGCTAGCTATCTTGTGGGGGCTTAGACAGAGACGATGAGGGCGTAGTTGTCCGGTGAGAGCTTGGACAGAGAGAGCTTGGCTGGAAGTGTTGGCCGGGGAAAGCATGGCCAGAGGGAGCTTGGCCGAGGGGAAGCAAGCATGGTCAGAGGTGCTGGCTAGGGGGGTGGCTGAGGTGTTGGCAAGAGAAGAGCGTGGTTGGGATGTTGGCCGGGGAGAGCGTGGCCGAGGTTGCCAACATGAGCAAAGGTTGGTCGGGGATGTTGGCCTGAGGAGAGATTGGCTAGAAGAAAGCTTAGACATGGGTGGTTAGCCAGGGAAGAGAAGCTGGCCTAAGGGTGCTTGGCCAGAGGTGCGAGGCTGTGGTTGAGGTCACGGTTAGAGGTGTCTCTTTCGCATTCCGTCAAACATCTTGCGTGCAGATTATCGACAAGCATTGAGCAGCTATCAAAGATGAGGACGGTCAAGATTTTTGTCGTGACGGCGGAGTAAACGGTGGGGAGGTGATGGATGCCCCCTAGAGGTGGGCAAGGGAAGAGGGTTGAAGTGTGAGTGCACGGGTGTGGTCAACGATGCTGGTGGTGGGTAG